CAGATCGGTGGTCGGCAAGTAAGACGACAGTTGTTAAGAGTAAGACGTCAAATCTTATTGTGACCATTAAGAAGAAAGTTTTTCAGTAAAATTACCGTAATTTATGAAGCTTAGATGCGAGCTTAGATGGGGTTGAAAACATTTAAAATCAGTTCTTAATAACTCGAAACTTGTTTTTACTTGAAAAATTTTCATTTTCGATTGACTTTTTATCACATGACTTTTTACTTAATTTTGCAAGTAAATTTTTCATGAAAACTGTCTAGAGTTTCACTATTTTTGACATAGTTTATTTTCTATAACTGTGGTTTGAATAAGGGAAAAAGTGACGTCTCAAGGTTTTGTCATCCTAATGACCTGTCGTCTTATTCACCTAGCACAATTCAGACCTAATAGATTCTGGCTAGCAGTAGAGTTTAGCAGAATCAACTAAGATGTAGAGCAGAAAAAATAGCAGACTTTGATGTGTGCAGCAGAGGGGATAATCTTTTATGCCATAAGGACCGAAATTTGTTCCAGCCAAACATTTATTCAAAAATCTGGAGAAATTAGCTGGAAAATCAGTCAGTTTTGGGCAGTTTGAACGACTCTGATTGGCTGAAATTTTGAGCGCATTCGGCCATGAGTACAGCCTCCATGCTAGATACGTAGAAAAGGAATGCTTTTATAGCAAGAGAGGAATCTATCAAAACAACAAAATAATAATTTAAACCAATTAACTTCAAATGGTCGAACACGATGTATCTGAATTAGTTTCACGTTGATATAGATTAAAAGATTTCACTAATTGGTTTTCAGCCCTTTTTTGATATGTTGTATTGAATAAAATTACTATCTAAATATATTTTTTTATTAATTAATTTTTAGTCATATGACTCAACCTGCCATTTCTGTATTTGTTTCAATCGAACTGGCTTCGTTTTTTCTAATTCCCTTTACACATTTTGCAGAACTCAGTCTCTGCAGTTGTTTGAATGAGTAATTTTTGCACAAATGTTATTTTTTCTTTTTCTCTTATCTCTTATCTGTTTATTCTTTATTTCTTTCTTTTCGTTCTAATTTTAAACAAAACATCGAAAGCTTAAATCTGTTTGTAAGCTGTATTGTTGCACATGGAAGAAGTTTACTTCGTTCACTATTTTAGGTCAACTTTAAAATCTTCCACCCTTACCTCTTTCCAGCGCGGGGGCTTGCTCAATAAACACTTGGGGCATGCTTAGAACCATTTGAAAAATAATATCAATTATGACCCATACGCTGCAAAAGTTTTTGTTTCGAAACCTCCACGTGATTTAGGTGAGAAAATTTGACCTTATCAGTCGAAATCGGCTGGTTACCAAGTGTTAATGAACGAAAATGTGTGTTTCTCCACTTGTGGCTTCTCACTTTTCTTTTCAAAAAATCACCCTCAATTGTTTTGGCGCTTTGAAGTTTGATTCAAAAGCTCATTTTATGTTCATTCGCTTATTGTTGGGCAGTAAAAGCTTGTTGATAACCAAAGTGTAAATGGCTCGAGATTATTTTCATGTTTAAAAGTGGATGTTTGTTTTTACACTTGCCAGCAGCTAGAATGCTAGTACGAACCTTCTTTTTTTCTAACCTAACTCGCAAATAAAAGTGTTCATTGAAACTGGAAAGTTCTCACTTATTTGGTGGCACTTTTGCTAGAATCACGATTTAGCTTTGCAAGTTTCATAGCATCTGCTCTGCTTTATTTGTGGCTAATGTTTCTGATTAATTAAGCGCCCGTGGTTAGTGCGTGAGACTCATTATCTCTAGGTCGTGCTCGATTGGAGATCGAATTCGAGACGGAACTGGATTTTACTGATTCGAGGCTTGTTTCTACTTTTTTTTTTTTAGAAATTTAGAATTCGAGCATTGCGTCTGTGTCAGAATTTCCAGCGAAAAAAAATTTGATCAAGTTTTGTGTGATATGCTTTAGTTTTACAAAAATACTTTTCAGGTCATATATATTTTCTTAGAAATTGCTTTAAAACAATTTGTCTGTTTTTGTTTCTTTAGTGCTGTAATACTTTTCTAATTGAGTGTCAGCTTGGTTTTTCTAATTTAAATGGAGATAAAAAATAATGACTTTGAAGTGTTAAAGAATTGATTTTTTATTTATTTAGTTCGAGTTTTTTTTGTTGCTTTCGGTAAAGTCTTAAATTTTGTTCGAGCTCAAATTTGAGTTTTTACAGTTTATGAAGTCTCTGTTTCCTTATTCGCTTAAAAGGTTCATTCGACTTAAACTAGTTGGTATTTTTTTTAAATCTCGGATCTATTACCTAATTTTGTGTCCTTTGAAGGGCAAAAATTTTCCTATGCATGTGTGCTTCGACGTGGACCCAACATTTTTAATGATATTTTTTGCTCAACTGGTGTCTGCCAAAGTATTATCAGTTTTTTTGTACCAATGCTAAATTTTGCTGTCATTTTTTTTATTTTTTTCTTGAATTTTTTCCTAAACTTGACTCTATTTTTGTCAAATTGGAACGCAGACTCATTTTTCTACGTTGATAACTTGTCTGACAGCACCTGCCAATCATTTGGTAGCTTAAATTAATACAGATTCAATCATTGATTGAGCACATGTCTGTTGAGCACATTCAATCAATGGTTGCAAAGATCTGTTTTTAGGGCTTTTTCCTCAACGCGTACTTTGATTGAAAACTCCATTTTTACATTTTTAAGTTTTTTGATATTCCTAATGAAGAAGGTATTTGACTTCATAGATTTTTCATGAAGTGCTTTCACAGATGGATTGTTCCTTTTTACGCATGCAATTAGCAAGCGTTATCAAACCGGAATATAGAATTTTTTGGGTTAAAAGCGTGTTCAACAGAATCACTTGTATGTTGGTTCATAAGGAATTCAAACTTGTATGCGTGTCTGGTACTGAAACCTGGAGGTGACGAATACGCATGCGACGGCAAAGTTCGTGGGTTCGAATCTGACCAAGAAATGTTTTTTTTTAAATTAAAACTGAAAACCTTCCTCTCCAAAAAAAATTGTCTGTAGTTTGCTCATGTTTTGTCGACTTAGTTGCCACAATGTAGAATAGATTTTTTTTGTTCACAATTTTCGGTTATGTTTTCTTTTAATGTTTGGAATCGCACCTGCAATTTTTGATTTTACTAGCCTTGTTTTGCTGCTTTTAATTTTTTTTTCGCTTAACTGGCTTATATTTTATCGGCTTAGTGACCTAATTTGAGGTCATTTTAAAAGAAGCACAAGTTTTATGCTTCCTTCCGGATCGCACAAAAAGCTAAAATTCTTTGAATAGGTTTTAAAGTTAAATAGTTGTTTCATGGCAACCATTATTTTTTCGTTTATGCGGGAAATTATTTAAGTTTTGTCGGCTCTGTTGCCGGTTAATAATTATTTTTTGAATTGTTTTATTGCCGTCGATTGTGCTTGTGGACGTGTTTTCCGCAAATAGAGCATGATTTCCGGCAACATTGTGAAAATTTTTAAGTTGTGGATTTTTGAAGTGTTTTTGTTTCTATTGTTTTGGACGTAGTGGCTTTATTTTTTTGTCTGCTAGCTTGCACTGCTGTTTTTATATTGTATCGAAAGTGGCGCGAAGCTTCGCTTCGCCTCTCTGAACAAAATTGGATCAGTTGTTTTGTTCCGACCATTGAAAATAGGGAGAAGTTTTGTGTTCGGTGTGTGTTTTAGTTCTTTTTCCACGCAAAAATCAGAATGAGTTGAGTAATATACCAAATTAAAGCCCTTTCAATTGTGATTCGAATGATATTAAAAACATTCAAAAAGATTTCCCAGTAGTATTGAGAAAACTGGTTTTAAAATTGAATTTTAGTTCATTTTCGAGCGAATAAAGCGAGCGAGCAGGCTTACAGAAGCTTATTTATGCTTCATTTAAGCTCTGGAAACTTACTTTTACGCAAGTTTTTAGTGAATATTTTAGTGCCATTCGGTAAAATTTTAAAACTTTCGTAAAAAAATATACTTTTTTTATTTTGTTGATATTTTTGTTTTTCTAGTCATGTTTCGACAAAAACTGTTGTCCAATATGCCTATTTTACTATGACTGACGAATATGCTCAAGTTCTAGGCTAACTTTCATATCCTTTTATCACACGGTGCAGAAAAAAACTACACTAATTTGAAAAAAAAAAAATTTCGTGTTTTTCAAGACTGGTCAGAGCATTCTGTGCTTCTTGCACAGTTACTGGCTAACCTTGTTTTGTAATTTTTCATTTGTCGGTTCATTTGCTTCTTAACTTTTAGTAGTTATAACTGAATCGTTGTACATTAAATTGACAATTTTGTTTAGTTCTTAGATTGTTAGTTTTAAAAAAGTTGGGTGGAATTTAGTTTTGACTGGAAAATAAATGCTGCGTGCAAATCTTATCCATCGTTTGTAGACTTAATACATACGTTTTGTAAAATTTTGAACTGGTTTCAAATAATTTTCTTCATTACAAAATGTTCATTGAAATTAACTGTTACTTGCTTCATTACCACCTAACCATTTTTGCGTTCTCTGCTGAGAGTTAAACGCAGTTTTTTCATCGCGGAAGCGGAGCATTCTGTTACACCCTGAAAATCACTGAGACCACAAGCGCAAGTAGTTTTATAGTCGTCATTCTTCTTCTCTGCAGAAATGTTGTGCTGTTTGTTCACATTTCATTATCAGAAAATCGAAGCCTGAAAAAATGAGACTTATTATTAATTTTACCTAAATTTGCAAGTTTCAAATGTTAAAAAACAAAAAAATGCTCGAACCTGATTGGTTGAAAAAAAAACGTTGTCAGCTTGTGTTTTCAGCAATGCATCTAATATGTAGGTGGTGCCTTTTTGAGTTATTTTTGAAAACTTATATGGTGACCGTTAAGTTTCTTCTGCTCTTGATAAGTGGTGATTTTTAGTTAAACTACTGCAGATGTAAGAAAATGGCTTGTCTGAAACCCGAATCTCTGTGTAATGTAAGAGTCTTCTCTTGTTGGTGTGATTAAATAAAGAAGTATTTTGTTCAGGATTCTGTCGAAAGTGATCATTGTGTGATCAAAAACGACGACAACAATAAAGCTGATCACACTCCTGTACCGCCAAGTGGATTCGCCATTGGACTCCTGAAGAAGCAAGGCTGGAAAGAGGGAGAGAAGTTGGGATGTAATCCGACCAATCAGAATGGAGCTAGACGTGGGGGTGGTTTGGAAAGAGGGTTGGGAATCACTGACGGAGAAATAAGTTCGAATGTGAATTTGAGAGAACAGGTAACCAATTTCAAGAGTGTTGGGTGAGATTGCAGTTGGCAGTTGTTGTTGTTTAGCTATATCGATCTCTGCCTTGAACTTCTGATTGAATTGGAGAGATAGATTATGTTTGCTACAGTGACAGAGAGATAGAGAGAGAGCTAGGGAATTTTTTAAATACTTTGGTTGATTTTGGAAATATATTTTGGTTGATTGGGTCGTCTCGTCTTGTCTATCGCTACAGTTCACCTGGGGTATCTAGCGGCTAAACCGACGTAGAAGGGAACCACCTGTTCCAATGATAGCGTCTTCGTGTTCATGCCCACAACTCCTCTTTGGTTCAAGCGGGCAGTTTTTAGTTAGTGGGGAAAATCGAGAAAAACTCCCCTTATTGGAGGTTATTTGATAAGTTACAGATATTTGGCAGCTTTTTGAGGGATTCTCTAACAAGCTTTTGATGGTAAGAGAGTTAGGGTGTACCCGGCAGTTAAATAGGTGTTCGGTTACATTGTTGTTCAGTCTGTGATAGTAACTATTTAAATAAGTTGAGTAGCCGGATTGAAGTTGCGAGAATGTACATCTGGTTTTCCGGTCAAATTTGCTTTCGTTTGCTGAAATTAGTGGTGGTAATATTCACAAATGGCGTGTTTTAGAATCAGTTGGATTCAGTTTACAACAAATTGAGACTCCGAGGGGAAGATCTTCCGGAGGAAGGTCACTGGTCCAATGGAAGATTCGAATCCGATCATCAGGAGCAGGCGCCTCAAAGCAGGTACTACTCAGTTTCTATAAGCCAACACAGATCAAAGTTTGCTAAATCATTAATTCATATTCGAGCCTTATCAGTTACAATTAAAAATATATATTTTTTTAAATTGCAAAGTTTTCATGTTTTGAAGCAAATTCTAACATAGCCTGTGCACTATTATGGCTCACAAACCCACGGCTTTAATACTTTCACTCATAGGACAGTAATTTCTGTGTTCTGTAATTTCTAATTGTTTTGAAAATCTGAAGCACGGCCGAGTTTTTCGTCTTCTTGCGGAACTTAAAAACGAAAATGCTTAGGCGCATCAGGCGATTTCAAGGCATATATCAAGTAGGTTAATCAAGATTCAATTGAATTAACATACAAAAAAAATTAGCAAAACTTGGATTGTTTAAATGTAAGATTTTGAGCAAGAGAGCAATTAGACTCATTTTTTGATTTGTTAGATTTTTTCCATTTTCATTTGAAACAAGAATAGACAAATGCTATGCAAGTAGCACAGAATTTTCAACTATATTCAGAAAAACTACAAAACAGTGTTTTCTTTTTTTCTTCATTTTAGTGTCGTTTTTTGTCCATGATGTGATGTGATGAGAGAACTACACAAACGCGTATAAATTTACCTACATAGGTGTAATCATGTATTTGGAAAACAAATTCAAAAATTTATGAAGTAGTGAGAACTCTTATGTAGATGTTGATGATTTTTTTCAGGTAAAAGTCTTAAAATTTGTCCACGCTCAGTTTTGATTTTTCGCGGTCTGACTTGATTTCTTTTCAAGCTTACTTCAGTTTTTTTGTTAAAAGGAAGGCAAACCCCCCTGTTAAACAGCAGAAATGTAAAGGTCACAAAAAACGTGATCGACTTCCAAATTGGAAAATCGAATTAATTATCAGATTACCCAGCAAAATAAAAATTTTAAGTTTTGATTCGGTATTCTCAAATTGGGTTAGTTTTATCTAAAATGATCAAACATAAATTGTTCGTGAAATTCAAGGAGCTTTAAGGGCATATATTTTGAAGCTTCAAGGGCAATAGAGTTTCTAACAGGAGAAGTGTCTGTGTCCTGGCCAAAGAAAGCCCTGGTCTGAGACTGATACCATAATCAAATGATATGTTTTAGCTTAGCCATTAGGGTGAACTTCTGTCAAAGTGAGGCAGTTGATGACCGAACGCTAGACATGTCAAAGATTGTCATCAATGCTATTCGCGATGTCGCCGCAGATTGGATAAGTGTCCAGGAAAAAGACGAACCCCTGAGAATATTCTGGAACGATCCCTGTCATTCCAACACTGCAGATTACATCAACGTAAAATCTAGAACTGACGGAATTGTATACAGATGGCCTAAAGAAACTCTACGATACACAAAAACTTATCCAAATTTGTGCTATTCATTTAACCCTGCGCACCCCGAAGGCAAGTTGAGTATACCAACTAGTGGGCAAACCTATATCGTGAGTCCGGCCTTTAACGAAAGCGGGCCCAGCGTGAATAATTCAGGAAATGCGGTTAATGACAACGCAAGAAGCACTGGAACATTTGTAGGGCCTATTACAGCTCATCAACACGAAATGCAGATCAAACTTGAAGAGCAAAATAACCAGAATAATTTTCCCAAGTTTGGACCGGGCGTTAATAGTAAACAAGATACAAATGCAGCTACGAAAGACGAAAAAGTTGTAGAATCTGCCGAGAACGACGACAAAAAGCAACCTAATGGCGCCGATAAAGAGTTGCAAGATACAGAAGTTAAAGAAAACGGAAACGCAGAAATTGATCAAACCAAGAAAGTTAAAAAGAAGAAAAAGAAAAAGCGGCGGAATCGAAGTCGATCCAAATCAAAGGACAGAAGCAAAAGTAGATCAAGATCAAAGTCAAGAGCGCGTAAGAAGTCAAGGTCATATAGCTACAGCAGCTACTCGTCAAGGTCATCGTATTCCAGTTACAGTTCCTACTCGTCCTATACGGGGTCGAGCTACTCAAGTTACTCCTACTCTAGTTCATCGTATGACTCATCGTCGAGACGAGCTAGAAGACGCTCGGTTTCAAGAGACTTTTCGCCGCCTAGAAACAGACGAGGAAGAGGAGGAGCATCTAGACGTCGCGGAAGAAACAGGAGGCGCAATCGAAACCGCGGTGACAGGCGAGGTGGAGCGAGAGGTGGTGGGAACCGACAGGTAACACGTTCCTATCTTCCGCCGGCGCAGGCAGTGAGAGGTGGAAGGGGAGGCAGAGGCGGAGGTGGAACCAGCCGGGGAGCACCCAGGGGCTCGGGTAGTCGTTATGGTGGACCACCACCAAGGAGTCAAAGCGAACGAGGGTATCCGCCACATCCCGACGACTACAGAGGACCACCGCCTCGACCCCGACCGAGTGAGTCTTTTTCACCGAGAGAAGACGAGCGGTACGATTATGATGATGGATACGCACGGAGACGTGAAAGAACCCCACCTCCGCCCTATCATCACCAGCATAGTCCTGGAAACCATCCCAATGATGGTAGGATGAGCAGAAGGAATGAAAGTCAGGATACAAACTATGGAGGATATGGACCAGGTCCACGTCATGATGACTACAGAAGACCTCATTATCGCGAAGACAGTTACAGAAGCGACAGGGAAAGAGACAACAGAGAACTGCATCGGCAGCCAGAACCTCCTCAGAATCAGCTTCAAGGAAGTCAGCAAGGAAGTAATATTGACAAATATTTGCAGGTGGAACCGGAACCAATGGAAGTATATAACCCAGCTCAGGAAAGCACAAACGCTAGCGGACAGTCCTTTACAGTTGACGAAACGGAAATCCAATCTAAATACAGTGATTTAGTGCAATATGCAAAGAGTTTCGCGGAGAAACAAGAATCGGGAGATGGTCAGTCGACCTCGCAAGGAGGCATGGACCAAATTCAGCAACAGCAACTGATAATTGATCCCTCAAATCCACAATTGCAACAGGGCCTGGTCCAGGAGGGATCCCAAAATGTCTTTACTAGTCAAGTGGTCCAACCAAAAGTGCTTCCCACGAATGTCCTCGCGCCTGGTATGTCGTCATATGTGACTGATCTATCAGGCTTGGGATCCATTCCAACTTCTCTGGCAGGCCAAAGACCGATGTTCGTCACCCCCAACATGGCCAACTTGGCGGCACTTGCGCAGAAACTTCAACAGCAGCAACAACAACAGGCCATGTTGCATCAACACATACAGCAGCAGCAACAACAAAATATCCAGACGTCTACTTCGAGCCAGTTACAAACCAGCCAGCCTATTGTTTCAACGGGAAACTCTCAACAAGACCAAATAAGTCAGGCAATCGCACAAGCAAATGCAAATGCATTGGCAGCAGTAGCCGCTTCGCAACAACAACAAAGACTACAAATGTTCCAAAATAGGACCAATGATATGGCAGCGTTGGGAACAATGAGGCCCCATTTGTCGTCCTTGTTTCCAGGTGGCAACCCTCTAGCGTCGTTGCATGGAAACTCTCTTCTGGGAGGAGGTCAGGGTCTGTTGAATCCTCAGATACCACTTGCTGCTGGATTACCTGCGGCTGGCCTTAGTGCTGCTCAATTGATGCAACTAGGCATAGGTGGCTCCCCAGGACAATTACCTCCTGGTATGCAATCAAATCATGCTTCTGCGCTATCTGCATCGTTTTTGAATCCAACAGGTTCTCAGGGAATGCTAGGAGGAGCAGGTATGGGGACTAATGGTCCTCTGGGAAACCCAGGAGGAAATCCTCTAGCGATGCAGCAAAGCTTGCTCCAGCAACAGTTGCTGAACAATTTGTTGCAACCTCCGCCTCAGCCACAATAAGTAATAAATGGATGCAAACTAGATAGACTATCCAACTTTTAATTTCATTTTATACGTTTTCTTATTCATTATTATGCTATCGTTCGCTAAATATGAAAAAGTATATATATAACACTATATCAGTTAAAATTAAAAAAAAAACAGTTTTGAGCCTATGATTTCCAGCAAAAGGAAGCTTTGTGTGCAACCAAGATAATGAACTGAAATTTTTGTCACGATTTTGTCGTTTCAATCATAGCTAGTTAGAGAGGCGCTCTTCGGTGCACTTTAAGTCTGCGATGTTGAAGCTCGTCTTCTATCTTCAAATTTTGGTCGCTAGTGAATCTGAATATTATCAACATTTGTAAAGAATGGCACGAAAGGTTTCTCGGGGCACAAACGTCTAAGCTCAAAAAGTTGTTAAATGTGTATTTTTAACGTGTGTTTAACGTCAAAGACACCTCTTTAGCTCGTGTTTTTGTTACGACCTGTTTACGAAGGAACTATGGCATATTTTGTTTTTCCTGCGCGGTGAGAGACTCAACTTGCATTTTCGAAATGTTTATGACCTCTAGGTTAAGCATGTGGTGTGGTGTGGTTGTTTTCAAAAAAAAATCAGTATCAGTAGTTGTTCACGCTCTCAGCTCTTTGATTTATCGCGGTTTGCCTTGTGAAGTTAATAGAAATTACTTTGCTAAATAGATGGCACCTTAAACTCCTATGATTACCTAGCGATGAGCAAGGGTATTGCAATCCGGTACAAGATTTTTTCCCCATAAATAACTTAGTACACTGATGTAATCCCCTGAAACATCGCACGACTCATAAATATTGGAAATTTACTGCAACAGATATTTTGAGCATGCTAGCATTATAAATATTCGTTCTATTCGAATTTTTTTTATAGTGGTTGTAATTATTGATTATTGGCCTAATATGGGGTGGTTTAGTAAGAAAAAAATTTCATGAGCGTGTGTGTATGTTTGAAGGGTATGGGAACTCTTTCGTTTTTCAAATTTTTTGGCTGAAATGAATTTTTGCTCAAATTTTTTTGGCTTTTTTAACGCTTGGTAAATTTTCTTCCGACGCTAACTTCACATTCTATTGTCTTGGCATTTTTTTTCAACACCAATTTCATTCATTTTGATAGATCTAGTTTATTCGACATACAAAATCGTTTTGATTTTTTTTCGATACTTTTCGAAGTGGTGCGAAGTTCCGCGTCACTTCAGTGTGACTCAGCTAGCTACAAAAGATGTAATTGACTTGGTTGCTAAAATGTACTCTAATGTTCAAAGTTCACGCTGGAAATAAAAGTTCTATAGACTCAGTTCTCTCTAGCTGGGTTAGTTTCATGAGAATGTGTCGATCTTGATAGATTCGTGAAAATCAAAGTGTTTTTACGTGTTTTTTTCTGGATTGCAAAAGTTGAACAATTTTCAAAAAAGTCAATTATTTTAAAAAGTTTATCGAAGTAGATAAGAAGTAGAAGTCAGGAGTCGACATGACCTCAGAACACAGAAAAACCGCATCATTTTAAAGAATCTATGGTCAAATCTCTGGCACTGACTCCTAAGTAACAATTCGGCGCTGCAACCAAAATCTTGGTTTTTCTTCCGAAACAAATAAAAAAAACAGTAATCGGAACACATCCGAAACAAACCAAAAACAGTTCTATCTAGCTATATAAATAATCTAATGATGTCATCAATTTTCTTAACTTTTGTAGATTTTTGCCGGGAAACACTTGATGAGTTTCGAAGTGCAAATTTCCAGTTTTCAGTTCGATGAATTTAAAACATATTGGGAAACTTCCGATACATTTTCAATCTTAAATCAACTTTCTGAGTTTTCTGTGTCTTTTTGTCCGGAAATAATGTATCAATTCGAGAGAAGCTTTCATTTCCCAGTTTAACTAGGAATTTGTAAATTTTGAATAAACAGAATGCAACTCAGAATGTTAAAAAAATTTTGCGGTCGTTTTTTGTTATTTTTAGGGCTGTTTATCAGATTCAATCGGTATAATTGATTGATTCAATTTTTGTAAAATAACCACTATAAGATTTGAAAAACTTCGTTTTTTTCTCCAGAATTAAAATTTATCCTTTTGTTCATTAGATGGAGGAATGCAGTTGAGATGTCATTGGTTTTATCTAAGTTTGTCTGCCCTGAAAAAGAGTATTTCAAAAAATGAAGAAGAAAACTTGATAGAGATGTTGATTTAAAATCTTATCTTAATTTTGATTTTTATTGCACTCGCGAAAGCAAATATCGTGTAATCGGGAATTAGACATTTCAATTGACCTTGTTAAGTTTAAGTGCGTGTGGTTTTGGAAATTTTTTTCTGGTTTAAAGTGATTTTGTTGGGATTTTGTGTTTAAGTTTTGTGTTTAAATTGTCACATTACGGAAGTCTTTTGTGCTGTAAGCAAGCATCATGGTAGTTGCAAGTTTCTTTCCGTGTAGTTTTTGGGAAATTTGAAAGTCTAAGTTATTTTTTTTAAAAATTTGCTCGGTTCAACTGGTGTCTGCTAAAAGATTGTCGGCTTTGCTTCCTCTTGGTAGGTTTTGTTCCGCTGATAATTTCAAGTTCAATTGTCTTGCTTGACGTGTTGCCTAGATTTCTTGTTTGATAAAAACAGGTATTTTTAAAATATATGGGTTCGTTTTTTTTTTTTTTTTTAATTTTATATTAATTTTCTGGAGGCGCTTTGAAAAAATACACTGTAAAAAAATTAGTTCTTCTCAAAAACTATCCTATTGATTATCGCAAACAGGACATTAATAAAAAAAACCTCCTACTCTCCTGTGTACCTGCATAACTTTTTAGTCTCTTTTTTACCTTACCACTATGTCTACAGCCTCCGAATAAGTCTGTGGATAAACTTTGCCCCATATTTTATTTTTCTCGAAAACTACATTCTAAAATCTGAAAATGTAGGTTCAATGAAGATAGCGGGTATGGGGAGGCTCCCATGTAGCAGCGGATACTCAAAATTGCCTTACACAAAAACTAATTCACTCATAAAAGCCTTTTTTTGACTTTCTGACCGTTTTTTTAAACTTTGTGAATTTTCTCGAGAGCTACCCTCAAATATCTCTATTAGTTTTTAGGTCGGGTTCAAAGAAAGGGTTGTAGGAAGCTCCCCTTTTTAACTTGTTTCCTCCAGTATTTTACTCAAACTTATAGCCAAAAGCAAAAAAAAAAAACAAATTTTCGATTTTTGACCGTTTTTTGAAAATTTTTGAATTTTCTCGAGAACTACTTTGACAATCAAAGTTACAGGTCGCGGTAAATTCTTCAGCGTCCAGCCACGCCCAAATTTTTTGCACGAAAAGCTCAATCAAAATTCATCAGGAGTCAATCAAAGTTACAAGTCGCGGTAAATTCTTCGGCGTCCAGCCACGCCCAAATTGTTTACACGAAAAGCTATGATTCTCGGAAAAGTCAATTTTTTGACCTGTTGACCGTTTTTTGGACTTTTTTCGGTAACCAATCTGCCAAAACTGGTATCAAGGAATAAGTTATAAAAACAGTTTTTTCAAAAGCCTACATTTTAAATGGCTATACCCATTTAGTTCAGAACAAAGTAATTGCCTTCAAAAAATCAAAGTTTTCATACTTAGAACGTTTTTTGGAAACTTTATGACTTTTCTCAAAACTACCCTGCCAGTTATCAGGTTAAATTGTCAATAAAAAATCCGGTTTTGGGAACTTTTTCCGCTGAAGCGGTTTCGGCATTTTGTTGCAGAAAAACTTATGGGTTTCGGAAAGCGAAGTTTTTGAGCTTTTAACCATTTTTAAGAAACTTTTTGACGAAAATTGTTGACTTTTTTAAAAACAATCCCATCAAATCTGAGATGAAGGGTTCCATCGAAAGAACTGGTTGCAAAAATTTTTCGTACAGATGCAGCGCCTCCTCATCTTTTTGTAAGATAAAGTTACTCATTTGGGAAAATTCCAATCTCTCAAAAAGTTTTCACTTTTATTCCTTATTTAAGCAGAGAAACTTTTTTTAGGAGAAAAACAAGGTTAAGGACAAACTCTTATTTGTCCTGTTTTTTTTTTCATTTTTTTTCTAAGGTTTGTAATGTATCGCAAGTAGTGCAAAGCTCTGTTTTGTTTCTGTGTTAATTAGCAAATTTCAAAAAATATATATATTTTTCCGTAATCAAAATAGCAAGACTTTTGCTCTGATTGTTTTTTTAAGTTTGGTTATGGGGTTGTTTGGTTATTTTCTCTCTATGTAAGGCAGATTCACACGACATATAACTTTAAAGCTAACTGGGGCAAACTGTTTGAATGAATTAACTTGGCTGGGGGATACATTACGTTGAGCATGTCAAATAATCAACTATTTAAATCCAATTAGTTGTCCCAATTAGCATAAAAAGCTGCCAGTTTCGTATGAGTAGTTTTCATTATCGAACAAAAAATTAACTAACTGGGGCAAACTGTTTGAATAAAGTAATGCAGTACTTGGCAGCAACATTCCTCTTGAATCTGGTTTTGAGACATCCATATCTGTAAGATTTATTATAAAGTTCGTCAAAAATTTGTTTACAGCTTAAGTTATTCACAAGGAAAAACCAATCGGGCAGAAGTATCCACATGGGACATAAGAAACAACATGGGACGGGAAAAATGAGTTTTTTTTCAAAAAAATCGCATCGCAATATGCTAAGTTGCTTCTTACAATAAAAAAGATGACCGAAAAATGACCGAAAAAAAGTCTCTTTTCAATTTTAAATTTCTTTTTCAGCAAGCGTTATGAAACTGGAATATAGACTTTTTTCTAGTTAACAACTAGTTAAAAAAAATAAGTTAAATCTCTAGCTGAGCAGGAGGAGGAGGAGCAGGAAAACGGAGCTAACTTCTTTTCTATTCAGCTGACTTCTTTTCCTTTATGTTCTCTTCTTTTAACATTCCAGGTTGCTTCCCCTTGGCCTGGAGATAAATCAGTTGGCTTTGTACCTTAAGGTCTGTTGGCCGGACCTTGTTTTTTCAGTATCAAAAAAATTGAAAAAAATGAGTTGTTGGTTTTCCGTTTGTTCACTCAAGTTTTGTCGGCAAAATTGCCACAACGAATTTATCCTGTGCTGTAGACAATTTTTTTTAAAGTTGCAAGTGCA